AGGAGTGCCAGTGAACGATCTGCCGCCCGTGCCCACTTCATGGTAGTGATCCCCGAGCCTCTTGCTGGCCTGCTTGGTCAGCTGGTATGCCATGCTCTGCTGAGTAGGGTCATCGGGGTCAAGTAGATCGCATTCTTCTGCTTGCCGTCGTTCTGCACGCCATTCATTCATCATCCGAGACTGTCGCCAAGATCTGCTTCGGATGCGTCTCTGAGGGGGCCATCCAACTCTAAGCGCTCAGCCTAGAGTGCCATTTGCTCGTCAGTGAGCTTGCCATCCTGCTCCTCATTGCTGGGGTCTATCATGGTCCTGGTGAGGCGCGAATGCTGTTCCCGGTCACGTTGCTTACGCTTCAGGCCCTCTGTGCCACATGCACAGCTTGATGTGGGACCTGATGAGGCTCGGCGCGAACTGGCGACAACACCTTGATAGTCGCCGGGCGCCGGGCAATCTTGTGCAGCCCGACACGTGGCCTCCATGGTAGGTTTCTATAACTGCTGTGAGCCGCTCCAAAGAGAGGCCGAGCAGCTGGCGGGCACAGGACGTGGTCAAGTATTTGTTCGCGTCCGCTGGACCGCGCAGCGTCCACTCCTCAGGAGGGAAAAACACACACAGACACTATTAATCGTTGATTCCCCAGAAAATATGGGAAAATCTTGGAAAATATGGGAAGTGGGGGGAAGACAAAAACCCCCAAAATATGGGAAAATATAGGGAATGTTCTTATTCGTGTGTATTTATTTGTGTGTCCTGGGGCCCCTTCAACTACTGCGGGTGCCACGGGGTGGGCCTCGAGCTTCTCGGCCCCAGGTGGTTGCACGCATTCTTCTGGGGTCACGCTCCAGTCTCCAACTGCCATCCATGGGTCGGAAATCCGAGCCGCGAATTATGATGTTCCAACCTGCTTTAGCCTTGGTCACCAAGAAGATTTCGAGCACCTGGAAAGCACCGAAACCGGTGGGTTTTCACGTGTCGGTCCCTGGGAAACAGCCCCTGGGATGGAATACTCGTTGGACACAGCTTCGATACCTCTCTGGGCGCTCGAAAGTATTTCCGGGATGTGGTCCTTGAGCACGACGGGAGCAACATAAGCCACGAGTTGGGCCAGCTGCTTCCTCTTCTCCGCGTTGGCGCCGACACGCCACGGCCGCTGTCCGGATATGACGAGGAGAGCGGTGCGGATTCCGCCTTTCACGTTCCAGTGCATTGCCGCAGCTTGCGGTAGTGCGCTGCCGTTAAGTCGTGTCCGTCCCTCTACAGGAGGAATATTCAAAACTAGTCAAAAGATAGCCTGGGCACGATTGGTTTAGCATTTGTTTGACCATTTTCGGAGTATTTTGGCGGTATTATTAATTTTCGTCCAAAATCCTCCTGAAGGGGGACATGCCCGACCTAACACTACAGCAACTTGCGGCAGCGCGCTGAATGACATTGCGGCAATGTCATTCAGCTTCGTTTCGAAGGCGCCTGTCCCTTGGACACCGGGCAGGTGCACAGGAGTCTCCGTTTGCGATCGTCGCAGCCAGCGTGCTCTTCCATGAGTCCTTTTTGCGGAGCGTCCAGTACGCGTAGCCGCTGTCCATGTGTGTTGCGAGTACCGTCCGTGGGTTTGAATCCTCTGGGCCTCGTCGGATGCCTTCGCAGCGGTGAGGGGGTGCGCCACCAGGCGCACGGTGACGTCGTGCACTGAGAGATTCGCCACGGATACGTGCGAGTACACCCTATCGTCTCTGCGCTGCCCACGCATGTCCTCAGGAGGGCCCTGAGGCGAGTGGTGGGGCAAGATGCGCTACCTCTAATTAATTGTTATTTTCCATTCACATTCTTATTTTCCCACAGCCCTTATCGATCATGGATTGGAAGGAGCACTGAGAGAGCCACTGGAAAATGGATCTTGGAATCGTACCTTGTGGCCTTTGGCTGCCGAAGCTCCTCGTGGCACCTCAGCAGCCGCAGCCGCAGGCTGCCTGGCTCGATCCCGAACGCGGTGGTTCTGCTCTAGGTACTTCTCCACGTGCTCGGGCTTCGTGAAGTCGAAGCCTCCTGCATCAAAGAAGGAAACGCCACCCTGACCGGACAATTGGCGTTTATTAAACGGCCCTGGGCGTTTACTAAAAGCCTTGCCCTCTTCGATTCCTTCCCTGGGTGCGTTTACTCAACGGCCTTGCTTGTCGGGGTGGTTCTATATGGGGGTGGAATGTTTGCCCTCTACTGCAGGGACCTCCTCCGCTGGCTGCGTCTGCGCCGAGGCTGCCCCTGCTGCACTTGCTGCTGCATGAGCTGCTCCCGAGACTGGTCCTCCTATGGCACGGCGACGTTTGGACTCCTGGGCGTTGCCGGCGAAGTTGCGGAGGATCTCGGTTGCCTTCTTCCTCGCCGTCGATGTTTCTTTAGCAGCCGCGAGGGTTTGCTGGGCTGCCGCGGCCGCTGCACGTGCGGCATGAGATTGCTCTTCTCTTCTTCTCCAAGGAACCCCACAATTTCTTCTGATCAACATGGTAAGGTCTCATCATTTTGAGCTTCCACTGTTGGAGCTGGGCCCTTGGAGCTAGCCTTCTCCCTCTGCTGGGCCTCCTTCTCGGCGGCCTTGTTATCTGCCAGCTTCGCCAGGATATCTTTCTGCTCCTCTGCGTTGCGTTGGAGACGCTTCCGCAGCTTTTCACCCGCCTGCGTCACCATGCGGAGCTCTTGCGCCGCCGCCTCCAGCCCCTCGAAGGGCTTAGACTCAGGTGGTGGTCGTCGAAGCTAAGGTCATGCTTGCTGTAGCAAGGCCAGCTGCTCCTCGTCGTTGCTGTCCTTGGCCTGCTTGTAGCGGTCGCCGAGCAACGTGACCAAGGCTTGGGCCTGTGGATCAGGGAACTCATCGCTGGCCCGCATGTCTCTCCGCACGGTGCCGCACCTGGCGCACTTCCCCTTCGCTGTGGTGCGACCACCACAGATCCAGCTGCTGCCAGAAGGAGCACGAGTATTGCACACCGAGTGTCGTCTGCTCTCCGCGCCCCGGCCACGTTGCTTCGTGCCTGGGCCGGAGTGTGCCCGACTCGCAGCACGGGCCTCCCTTCGGGCGAACAGAACTATGCACATGCACCGATCCTGGCAAGGCCCAGCCCTGACCCAGGATCGGTGCATATGCCTTCCTGGTCAAGGCAGGAGGGCGTATGCACCGATCCTGGGCTCAGGATGGGCCTGGCCAGAATCGGTGGGTGCATGTGCATACAGTCAAACACCCTATTAAGGACGCGCGACTTTGCTCAGAGTACCCTTGCGTCCTTGCTCTTCCTTGCTCTTGCGTCCTTGGGTTGTTCGTCGTCCGCCGCCCCAAAAATCCCAACTTCGGCTTCCTAGGGTCTTGCGTCCTTACCGCGCGTCCGTATCAGGGCTTTTGGCTGTATTGTTTCCCTCTGTTTCTTCCAGCTGGGTAGTCGAAGGTCGGACTGTCAGATTGGCCCTTGGGCCCCAAGGGCCAATCTGGCCTGGCCAGACTGGATGATTTGGGCTACTCGCCAGACCCCGGATTCGCGTTGGCTCCCTCGCCAGACGGCCCCCGTTTGCCGGATTGGGCCTGCCAGATTGGCGCCAGATTGGCCTCGACTACCCGGAGGAGGAGGAGGAGGAGGAGGAGGAGGAGGAGGAGGAGGAGGAGGAGGAGGAGGAGGAGTCCCGGGCGGGAGCCGTGCCCCCACGAGTGAGGTGTCGTGGTCTGCTGCGGCTCCCTCCGCACCCGTCGGGTGCGCCCCTCGGGCCGCGGGCACGCCTCGCGGCCTGCTGTGCTGGGCAGGCGCGGTCGTGCGGCACGCGCGCAGCAGTGGGCTCGGCCGAAAGCACCCTGCAATCTTTCGAGCCCAGGTCACTTGGGAGGAGGAGGAGGAGGAGGAGGAGGAGGAGGAAGGGGGAGGAGGGGAGGAGGGGGAGGAGGAAAAGAGGAGGGGAGGAGGAGGAGGAGGACGAGGAGGAGAGGAGGAGGAGGAGGAGGAGGAGGGGGAGGGGAGGAGGAGGAGGGGGGGGGAGGAGGACAGGAAGCGGGAGGAGGAAGCGGGAGGAGAAGGAGGGGGAGGTGGAGGGGGAGGTGGAGGAGGAGGAGGATGAGGAGGAGGAGGAGTAGGAGGGGGAGGAGTAGGAGGGGGAGGAGGAAGAGGAGGAGGGGGAGGAGGAAGAGGACGACGACGACCAATGTAAACCCAAGAGTCATCAACGATGTTGGAATGAGCCCTCCCTCCAAGCTCCCTCTTCGTGTGCCCTTACAACGGTTCATTTCCATTGAGGGAACTGCCTCGTTGGAAGACAACCGTTTTAAGATCCTGAAACGTGCCAAAACATTGCTCTCGGGATTTCAAGGCCACGTATCAAGCTGACTGCTGCGTCTTGACGATCCGGACTCGTGCCGGATTTGTTGCGCCCGCAGAATGCCGAATCTTTATAAAACATCCTGTCTGGTACGTTGATCATGGGATTCCGTGAAACTCTTCTTGCAAATGTTTAAACCGAATGCACGCGGCGCTAAAGCGAGAGCCACATTTTGAAAAGGAACCTGCAACTTGTTAAAACAGATGTGCGCGGCGCTAAGGCGAGAGTCAAATTTTGAAAACGACCCGCCCTCAATCCGTGAAGCTTTTGTATTTTTTAGTCGAATGTGCGCGGCGCTAAGGCGAGAGCCACATTTTGAAAAGGTACCGCCCCCCTCAATCCGTGAAACTCTTGCAATTGTTTTAAACAAATGCGCGCGGCGCTAAGGCGAGAGCCACATTTTGAAAGCGACCCGCCCTCCATGTGTGAAACTGTTGACACCCTTTAAGCTTCCGAGTCATAGGTGGTGAGGAAGTCTCAGGCAAAACGCCCAGCCCGCCCTAAAAACTGGCCTCGGGGTGCGAGCGACAGGGAGAAGCTACTTATAAGGAGAAGGACTGGAGGAGGAGGAGGACGAGGACGAGGACGAGGACGAGGACGAGGAGCGGGAGGAACAGGATGAGGACCGAAAAAAGGCTGAGGCGGGTGCCGCCGAGGAAGAGGGCCGATGTTCATGCCCGGCGGCGTGCGGCCTGTGCTCGCCTGCGGGGGCATGGGCCTGATACCCGGCAAGGCGGGCGGTTGCCGCCCGCCCTGGCCAATCGCTCTCCTGCTGCTGCCCGCTGCCGCCCTCGCCTGTTGTCTTTCCTGCCCGTCCTCCGCCTCCTCCTCGTCCTCCTCCTCCTCGCCTTCCTCCTCTTCCCCCCCCCCCTCCGCCTCCTCAAGTTTCCCCTCCTCCTTTTCCTCCTCCTGCTCCTCGCCCTCCTGCTCGTCTCCCTCCTCCTCCTCCTCCTCCTCCTCCTCCTCCGCCTCCTCCTCCTCCACCTCCCCCTTCTCCTCCTCCACCTCCTCCTCCCCCTCCTGCTCCTCCTCCTCCTCCTCCTCGCCTCCTCCTCTTCCCCCCCTCCGCCTCCTCCAGTTTCCCATCCTCTTCCTCCTCCTCCTCCTCCTTCTCCTCCTCCTCTCTCGCCCTTCTCGCCTTCTCGCCTTCTCCTCCTCCTCCTCCTCCTTCTCCTCCTCTCCTCCTCCACCTCCTCCTCTCCTCCTTCTCCTCCTCCTCCTGCTCCTCCTCCTCCTCCTCCTCATCATCATCATCATCATCAGCATCATCATCACCATCACCATCATCACGATCTGCATCATCACCATCATCATCATCGTCATCATCATCAGCAGCATTATCCTCATGCTCATCCTCATCCTCATCCTCGTCATCATCAGCAGCAGCAGCATCATCACCATCATCATCACCACCATCATCATTATCAGCATCGTCAGCATCATCAGCAGCATCATCAGCATCATCAGCATCAGCAGCAGCAGCATCGTCATCATCACCATCATCCCTCCTTCATCCCTCGAACATAAATAAACAGGCTAAACATAGTTTTCGGAGGTCCGCTGCGGTTCCTGGGATCCGCGCTAGATTATCTTTCCATCCGCTTGGCGGCGGGGGGAGGGTGGAAGGGGAAGGCGAGGATGAAGAGAAGAGGGGAGGGGAGGAGACAGGGGAAACGGTGAGGATCTCGCCCTTCCTCCCCCGCCTTCTCTGTCCTCGCCCTCCCTCCTGCTCCTCCTCCTCCTCCTGATCCTCATCCTCCCTCCTCCTCCTCCTCCTCCTCCTCCTCCTCCTCCTCCTCCTCCTCCTCCTCCTCCTCCTCCTCTCTTCCTCCTCCTCCTCCTCCTCCTCCTCCCTCCTCCTCCTCCCCTCCTCCTCCTCCTCCTCCTCCTCCTCCTCCTCCTCCTCCTCCCCCTCCCCCTCCCCTCCCCTCCCCCTCCCCCCCCCCCTCCTCCTCCTCCTCCCCTCCTCCTCCTCCTCCTCCTCCTCCTCCTCCTCCTCCTCCTCCTCCTCCTCCTCCTCCTCCTCCTCCTCCTCCTCCTCCTCCTCCTCCTCCCCCTCCTCCTCCGCCTCCTCCTCCTCCTCCTCCTCCTCCTCCTCCTCCTCCTCCTCCTCCTCCTCCTCTCCTCCTCCTCCTCCTCCCCCTCCCCCTCCCCCTCCCCCCTCCTCCTCTCCCGCCTCCCGCTGATCCTCCTCCTGCTTCTCGTTCTGCTGCTGCTGCTGTTGCTGCTGCTGCTGCTCCTCCTCCTCTTCCTCCTCCTCCGCCTCCTCGTCCTCCGCCTCCTCCTACTCCTCCTCCTCTTCATCCTCCTCATCCTCCTCATTCTCTCCCGCCTCCAGCTGATCCTCCTCCTGCTTCTCGTTCTGCTGCTGCTGCTACTTCTGCTGCTGCTGCTCTTCCTCCTCCTCCGCCTCCTCCTTCTCCTCTTCCTCTTCCGCCTCCCGCTGATATTCCTCCTTCTTCTCGTTCTGCTGCCGTTGCTGCTGCTGCCGCCGCCGCTACTGCTGCTGCTGCTGCTGCTCCTCCTCCTCCTCCTCCTCCTCCTTTTTGGGTTCACCGGACTCCAAGAACTACGCTTGTAGCGTTCGTTTTCCTCCTCCTCCTCCTCCTCCTCCTCCTCCTCCTCCTCCTCATCATCATCATCATCATCATCATCATCATCATCATCATCATCATCCTCATCCTCATCCTCATCCTCATCCTCATCCTCATCCTCATCATCATCCTCCTCCCCGTCCTGCCTCTTCCTCCTACCTCTCCTCCACGCGCGCTTCCGCTTCGCCCCTTTCCGCGTCCCCCTCCGCCAAACGCGAAGAGCGCTGCTCGGCGCACAGATCGGAGGGAGCAGGAGGGAGTACGACGGCGAGGAGGGTGTTTACAGTCGACCCCCCTTGAGGCCACTTGCAGGGGATTGCTACGAGGAGCGGAAGCGGGAGTGCGGGAGGGGGAAGATGCAGAACGGGAAGGAACAGGAGGAGGAGGGGGGGCGAGGAGCGAGGAGCGTGGAATATGCAGCATGGAGTCCAAGGGCAGCAACAGTTTGCGCCGTGAGGCGCAACAGGCCTCTGCGCTCCTGCCCCCCCCCCCGGGGAGGAGGTTGAGGACGAGGGGTCGCGCACTGCGGAGCGCCGGCCGCGAAGAGCAGCGCGCCCTCGCGGCGGCCCCCATTGGCCACCCGAGTCGGGCGAAGAGAACTATTCAGAGCCCCGAATCATCAGGGGTAACTCGGGTCAGGGCTAACTCGGGTTCCTTTTTCGGGAATCCAAGCCCGACTTACCCCGGACCCGAGTTACCCCGGATAACTCGGGCGTCCAGAGCCCCGAATCATCAGGGGTAACTCGGGTCAGGGCTAACTCGGGTTCCTTTTTGGGGAATCCAAGCCCGAGTTACCCCGGACCCGAGTTGCCCCGGATAACTCGGGCGCCCAAACTATGCACATGCATCGATTCTGGCCAGGCCCATCTTGGGCCCAGGATCGGTGCGTATGCTTTCTGGGCCAAGGCAGGAGGGCATATGCACCGATCCTGGGCTCAGGATGGGCCTGGCCGGAACTGGTGCATGTGCATAGCTCTCTTTCCTCTACCGAGGAGGCAGGCCCCAGAGGGGAAGGGCGCCGACGACCGAGAGGGGCTCGACCGGACCTGATTCGACGTGCAGGGGTCGACTATCGACGTATGAGTGACCTCTCGCCGGAGTGACCTCTGGTGCGGGCACAGGTGGGTCCCCAGATGGCTGGAAACGTAGCAGGAGCAGCGGCTTGCGCGCCCAGGTTTGGTCCCCCCGCGGCCCCCAAAAAGCCGCGCACCAAAGGTCACTCTTACCCAGGGTCACTCTTGCGTGTAGCCGAGGGAGGGCGACTACAGTCGTGCCGCTGAAGCAGGCTCCCTTTTCGTTGGGGAGGGCTGAGGAGCTCAGTGTCCCTGAATCGTTTCGCAGCTTGTCTTAGGTGTTCCTTGGGTTTGCTGTGGGGCATGGGAGCTTACCCCATGGACAGACGAGGCCTCGTTCCTCTTCTGGGGTTGCTTATGACAGCGTTTCGACTGCACGCCCGGGAGAGATCCGCGTCGTCCTGGATTGGGCGCCGCGTAATGGGGGGGTCATAAATAGGGGGGTGGCGAGCGTGGTCCGAAAAGGTACCCAAACAGTACCTAAACGAGCCCCCTGGGGCTCCGGAGGGGCCCGAAAGGGGCACGAAAGGGGACCTGTTTGACCCCCCCATTTGTGACCCCCCATGAAGCCACGCCCAGCCTGGGCCTCCCTCTCCGCGCGCCGCTGCTCCCCCGCCCCACCCGACCCGGGGCCGCCGCTGCGGACCGCCGAGGCCGGAGGAGGGGGGGCGAGCACGCCTTCCGTGCGGCAGAATCGCGGCTTCGCGCGCGGCGGCGGGGCGGAGGGCGTCGGGGAGCAGCGGGAGCCCGCGGACACACGGCCCTCTTGGTCCTTAGGTCCTTCTCCCCCTCCTTTCTCCTCCCTCCTCCTCCTCCTCCTCCTCCTTCCTCCTCCTCCTCCTCCTCCTCCTCTCCCTGCTCCTGCCTCACCTCCTCCTCCTTTCCTCTCCTCCTCCTCCTCCTCCTCCTCCTCACCATCCTCCTCCTCCTCCTCCTCCTCCTCCTCCTCCTGCTCCACCTCCTCCTCCTGCTCCACCTCCTCCTCTTCCACCTCCTCCTCTTCCTCCTCCTCCTCCTCCTCCTCCTCCTCATCCTCCTCTCTTCCGTAGCCATTTTGGCTCAAGTCCGTAGCGTTGGCTCGGACTTGACATTTTGGCAGGAGGGAATCGACGGCCCTCACCGCTCCCGCACCTCCCCAGAGCCTGCCCAGGCTGGAGGTGCCGCTTTCCTACACCACGCATTCCACGTTCGGGACCGTACCTCCCGATCTCCTTCTACTTCCTGTACGGCTGGCCCATGGGAACAGATGATTCTACTCCACCTTGGCGAGACTGGTCAGCGAACAAGAAGGCAGCGGTCGTCCGTCGCAAGCCTAAGCGGCCCCCTCCTACTGGACCGACGTGGCGTTGTGGACAGTGCGGCTGTTCTCGCAACGAGGAGCGGTGGCAGTGGTGCAAACATTGCTTCTCACCACGCACACCAGAGCCTGGGTGGACTTCTCCTGCCCAGTGGGGGCCGTCTTGGGGCGGACGGTCGTGGGCAGACTCGAAGGCACCGCCGAGCCAGCCTTTGGCAGTTGGGCTGCAAGCTGGTGGGCCTCATGCTGCTCCTCCTGCTCTGGCGTGGACCAGCCTCGACGGCCTGGACAGCAGCGAGCTCGCCTCCCTGCTCGCCATCGCCACCAAGACTGGCGACAAGAACCTCGCCAACCGTGTCCAAAGCCGCATCACTACCCTGTCCAAGCCGACACCGCCTGTCGTGGAGAAGCCCATGGAGCAGCGATTGGCAGATTCTCGCAAGGAGCGGGATAAACTGCTGCAGCGCCTCTCCCGTGAGCTCGACAAGCATGGCAAGTGGAAGGAGCAGCTGCGTGAACACGAGAACCACCTCTGTGAGCTTCGTGCCGTGCTGGAGATCATGGACGCCCAGCACGCGGAGCTGGCCAACAAGTTGGCCACAGGTCCTCCTGCCCAGACTGCTCCCAACAGGATCAGCCTCCAGGACTTGGTCTCTGGCAAAGTGGACACCCTGGACTTCGACTTGGGCCTCTTGGCCAAGATGCCTGATGGACTGGAGCTCGATGCTGAGGACAAGCAGCGCATCGAGGAGCGCACCGCGCAGCTTCG